CCACTACAGGCTATGTGTTCATAATTGCAGGAGGAGCTGTGAGCTGGGTTTCTAAACTTCAGACTGTTGTAGCATTATCCACAACAGAAGCTGAGTACATGGCAGCTACACAAGCTTGTAAAGAAGCAATATGGATGAAGAAACTTATGGAGGAACTCGGGCACAAACAAGATAATATTCTTTTGTATTGTGATAGTCAAAGTGCCTTGCATATTGCAAGGAATCCAACATTTCATTTAAGAACAAAACACATAGATGTTCAGTATCACTTTGTTCGCGAAGTGGTGGAAGATGGAAGTGTAGATTTTCAGAAGATTCACACAAAGGAAAACCCAGCAGATGCTTTGACGAAACCGGTTAACACTGATAAGTATATGGTGCAGATCCTCTTACGGCCTAGTAGAAACGTAAACAACATGAAGATGACAAGTATAGAAAAGATAGAAGAAGCACAAATGATCAAGTGTGAAGACTTGATTAAATCATTACAGTCTTCAACCTAATAGCCTAACCACATTCCTATGATTAATTAATTTGTACGAGAATGACAACTTCATTGAATGTATTTTTCATGCTTTCCTTCTCTAACCAATCCCGACTCTTTCATTGCAACAATCCTACCATCTGCCAACATTTCTTTGTAAACAGTCGCTTGTCCTCCTTGGCCAACCTTCCTATGCACACTAAAATGGTCATTGTCCCTCTCCAGTTCAGTTCACTAACCAGTCTTTTATTCAGGGTTACATGCACTCCAATAGTTGAACATTGTAGCGTGGCAACAGTCATTGGTCTTTTGAGAGTCGAACTTATGAGAAGCATGTTGGAAATTTCGACCGGTGATATTCTGATACTTGCTCAGCTCATAGGAGAGCCAAGCACACTGACACAATATTTAACGTGGTTCGGCAAAATCGCCTACATCCACGGGAGAAGTTAATATATTTAGAGATAGAGAAAGAATACAAAACAAATACATGGAGGAGGAGGATTACACCCTCTCATACTCAACTCTCAACTCTCTTTGCTGGCAGCAAGGCTGCTGCCATTGCAGCTCTCTCTTCCTCTCTACTCTTTACACATACTCAACTCTCAACTCTCTTTGCTGCACTTGCAGCTGCTGGCATTGCAGCTCTCTCTTCCTCTCTACTCTCTTCACATTTTCATAATTCTCTTCACTCATTTTGCTCTCTTGCATATGCCTCTATTTATAGGCATTCATGGAGGCTTTTCTTCAACAAAGGTGGCTGCCAACTCCAACTCTTCTTCAACAATGGTGGCTGCCAACCTTTGACATCTTGGATGAGTGCACATGGTTGGTGCAATAGCAAATGGTTGTTGCACATTAATGGCAACCAACCTAACAATCACCCCCTTTGCCATTCATGTGGGGCAACTGTCCTCATTCTTCTTCAACACAAGCTTGCATCTTGCAGCTCTTCCAAGCTTTCCATTTTGAGAGCTTTTGTAGCCAAGTTTACAGGTACTTGCCAAACCCTTCAATCATCAGAGTGACCTAAGCACACCTTTTCTCACACAAAAGGATCACTATAACCAGATGGTCTGCCACATCACATCTGAATAGTGTTAACGCTTGTCTCTGGAACAACATTCCCCTTCGAGCGTATCAACCACGCTCAGTCCGGAATGATTCCTCAAGCCTCACATCAAGGCTTACAACACCCCCTCAAACGGATATTTCAAGTGCGACAGTCATTATCTGAGTATCTCAATATGATCACAAGCTCACCACTCTTCCAAGAGTCTACTCATCTAGGAGTTGCGCCTGCCCTCTGTTCCACCCTAGGAACCACGCCTTACTTCTCCATGAGTCTCTCGCTCTTAGTCTCAAGAGTCTAGGTAGCTTTCCACCTTTAACCATGGGGGCAGCCCATAAAAGGTTGATCCATATCTGTCTTCATACTCTGAGTATTACAATGCCATTACCGAGCTCATCACCTTGACAAGAGTCAACTTGTTCCCGGAACCTGCGCATGCCCTCTGCTCCTTCATAGCAGCCGCGTCTTAATGCTCCACAAGTCATCCACTTATTGTCCAAGGCAAATGTCTTCTAGCTCATTGATCTTTAGCATGGGGGCAATATCCATGAAAGTCAATCTTGCATTTGTCTTCATACTCATCATAGCCACTTCATTGGCTATCCATCTGTCCACTCATACCTAGCCATCACATTGGCTCTGGGGCGTTCTGAAATGGGCTCCTTCCATGGCCCTCACACCTTCTCTTGAGGTGTCTCCGCTCGTCGTCATGCGGCGGTCTGATCATGGGCTCATCTCATAGCCCTCACACCTTCTCTTTAAGGTGTCTTCGCCTTTTATAGGTAGTCGCATCCTCCTTTAGCTAAGATGGTTCAAAGTGGCTCCATAAATTCTTTGCCACTAATTACATAGAAAGAGAAAGTTGCGGTATACTCCTCACAATCCTCCACCTCAATTTCTATGTTTGGAGCTTCTACGCCTTTTCTGCTTAACAGCTCCACCCGCACCAACTCCCTTTGGTGTCTTCGCCTTTCATCATAGGCGGTCGCCTTTTATCACAAGCATTTGCACCCCCTCAATTAGGTGCATCTGCAACAGCTCATCCTTCCATCCTTGCATGCATTGAAAGGTCCTCACTTGTTGCCTTTATCAAGAGCACAAGAGACTTTTTGTTGTACAACTTTTTCATAGTCTTTGCTCTGAGCTTCATCTGGGAACTCTTCTTCTCCTTGCACCTGTTGTCTCATTATAGTACCTCGTTGGATCCTCCAGGTACTCCTACACAATCTTCATGTGCTCTCGTGCAATTTTGGTTCTCCAGATTTCTCCCTATTCCTTGCTTATGTTTAACAGCAGCTCATCCTGTCACAACATCTATCCAAGTTTAAATAGGGTGCCAATCTTTATCCCTTTGCTGTATTTCTCTTCCATTATCAGGGTCTTCATCAATTCTCCCCTCGAGAAATTATAGTCACCGAATCTAACTTCCTTGGAGAAATCACCACTCCATCAAATCCTTGATCATACGGAACCCAACTGTTCCTTTGTGCCGTCATCCTGCTAGTCTTCAACAGTTTCATAACAAACTATCACATATACGAAAATAGTACCGTATGGATAATCCTTCCACTAAGCAAGTTCCCAGGAAAGATTGGAGGGGTCACAACGGTCCCGCTTAAAACCCAATCTCCTAGCCAGAACTTCTTAGGCCATATCTATCCATCGTACTGTCTTTTCGTATATATAACCATTTGCTAGCTTTGTTGCGGCTTTCCTTTATAAGTGATCTGGGGTATCCTGGTTTTATACCTGATTTCTCAACATCTGGTGAGACTACCAGTGCTCAGATTCGTCAAGATTGGTCTTCATCAAATTTCACTCTCCACCTCAAATTGTCCATATGATCGGGTGTTTAGAGTGTCCCAATTTTACTTTCCCTCAAGGCAATTAAAATTCCCCATATAATAGTTCACCACATGTAATTGGGCAAACATGTGTGATTTCTTCTTCTTCAGCTCCATCGACCACCATGATGACCATCATATGCCTCCTGATCGGGTAATCTCTCTTTAATAATTCATCACTGCCATTTCTGATCTCAATCTCAACGATCGGACCATACCATTGCATCCGGAACGATCAAATTAGCTGGAAACAAGTCTGAAATCGTCCAAATCGCACTTCAGACGGCTAAGATTTGATCAAAACAATTTTGGCCTGATAAACGGCCCAGATTCAATCTCAGAACCGGTTGCACATAGACTCCGCCACACAAGATCAAAATCCAGGGAGTTGACGTGGCTGTAATGACATGTCATCCACGTAGGACATATAGGTCAACCAAATATGACGTGGCAGTTTGACTGGTCAGAGTGCTGATGTGTCAGGTGACGTGTCTGATGACTGTGCAGAACTGCTGACATGCCTAATGACGTGGCAGTTTGACTGGTCAGAGTGCTGATGTGTCAGGTGACGTGTCTGATGACTGTGCAGAACTGCTGACGTGGCAGTTTGACTGGACATCAGGTGGCGTGTCTGATGACTGTGCAGAACTGCTGACATGCCTAATGACGTGGCAGTTTGACTGGTCAGAGTGCTGATGTGTCAGGTGACGTGTCTGATGACTGTGCAGAACTGCTGACATGCCTAATGACGTGGCAGTTTGACTGGTCAGAGTGCTGATATGTCAGCTGACGTGTCTGATGACTGTGCAGAACCGCTGGCGTGGCTGATGACGTGGACAGTCGCCCCGCCGGCGCGTGCGACGGTTTCCGACGTCCGATTTTGACGCGGTTTTCACCAGTGGCTTCGTCTCTTCCTCCTCTACACAGTGGTATGGTCAAAACACAATTTTGACAACTTTTATTTTTGAGCAAAATCAAACACCACTTTAAACCGAACGCTCTGATACCAATTGTTGGGAATTTCGACCGGTGATATTCTGATACTTGCTCATAGGAGAGCCAAGCACACTGACACAATATTTAACGTGGTTCGGCAAAACCGCCTACATCCACGGGAGAAGTCAATATATTTAGAGATAGAGAAAGAATACAAAACAAATACATGGAGGAGGAGGATTACACCCTCTCATACTCAACTCTCAACTCTCTTTGCTGCACTTAGCAGCACTGCAATGGCAGCAAGGCTGCTGCTATTGCAGCTCTCTCTTCCTCTCTACTCTTTACAGGAGATATTGGAAAAGGGTACCATTAGGGATGAATTCATAGACTAGTGTGGAACCCCGGTTTCCAAGCAACAACCTAATAGCCTAACCACATTCCTATGATTAATTAATTTGTACGAGAATGACAACTTCATTGAATGTATTTTTCATGCTTTCCTTCTCTAACCAATCCCGACTCTTTCATTGCAACAATCCTACCATCTGCCAACATTTCTTTGTAAACAGTCGCTTGTCCTCCCTGTCCAACCTTCCTATGCACACTAAAATGGTCATTGACCCTCTCCAGTTCAGTTCACTAACCAATCTTTTATTCAGGGTTACATGCACTCCAATAGTTGAACATTGTAGCGTGGCAACAGTCATTGGTCTTTACTTGAGAGTCGAACTTATGAGAAGCATGCCACAACGTTACAAGGTATTCGTTAAATGGCCGGGTTTTCTGCTTTGTTATCTGTTTCTGTAGCGAAGGCAGATGATAATTTAGGATTAGCAGTATTGTTAAAATTCTTTAATGGATGTTGCGAGGTCGTATGGCTTCCCCTGATAACATGAATAGCTAGCTACTCATGAACCTAAATCTGATCATGCATGCTGAGATATGCCTTTTTTATGAACTTAGATTGAGGAGAAAGTTATTGTTGAAGTTTGTGGAATACACAACTAAAAAGCTTGGTGGCTTTGTTTTGCGAGGCATGTTAGGCACATAATTGCTTAAATTGATTTATTGGCATTCTTTACAGTATGACATTATGTGGTTGTTATTTATTAATGAAATTTTGAGTGTACCATAATATATCTGGAGTAATTAGCAAATGCCTTCTTGACTGGCCTGCAGCAAAACCATATGCGAGCACTGGATTTGTGTGATTCACCAGCACTGGGAATGGGGGAGCACACTAGACTGAGATTAAGTAGATGACAGTTTTCCAGGTTGCACTGTCAACACAGTGCTTTATAGTTATATAAAGAAAGTTCTGTTCCACAAACCCTCATTACTCCCTTTAAGAAAGATTTCTTATCACTAGAATTACTCCCTTTAAGAAAGACTAGATTTCTTATCACTAGAAAAAGTCTCGCAAACATGGAACAAAGGATTTGTACTTCCAACGTTTGTCGTTCTTTTAAGAAGTTTGCAACTTTGATAATATTGAGTTTAGTGTGTTGGTTTAAAGCTGAAATGAAACTGTAATATTGTCCTTCTGCTTAATCTTCTGCTAGTTTCTGCTTTGTATTTCTAATCCTATGGTATAAAAAAAAGAACGAAAGAGAATATAATTTTGGATCTCCCTTCTATATGTACATAAAAAAGCTTTTCTGTATCTGTATATGCTAGAGCTTTTCACAGTGGTTTCTTCTTTTTTGTATGGCTGGAGTCCAGAAGGATTCATTTGGCACTTTACAGCATCATAACTCACTTCTTTTATCCTTCTTACCAGGAACTCTGATTTGGACATACAATATTCCCAGCAGCACTGCTGTGAATCCCTGGTTTCGCATAGAAATCTCAAGCTCTTTTTGTTTGAGGTAGCTGAGGTGGCCCTTTTTGGAGGAAAACTTTTGATATGCTTATACGCTAAGCTAAAATTTTGGAACAATCTGTAAATGGTTTGTATGAAACACTACTGCTGCTTTTGCAAAACTAGACTGGAATTATGTATCCTGTTGTTCCTCTTCCTACAGCCTTTGGTTTATTACACATGACATAATAGACCCAACAGATATTAGGCACCTAACTCCATCAGATTATTAGTCGCATTGGGCTTGAAATCTTTTACTCTGCATCACAGCTGTACTTCCCTTTTTTTTATCCTTTATGAAGAAAGCGATAAGATATGCTTTATGGTGTTTGCTGGCGAAAAGCTATTTCTGGACTACTTTTTTCCCAATGATCATTAAGAAGATAGTATCGGCTATAAGCGTTGTCCAGATGGAAAATTTATTGTGAAAAGTGCATAGGAAGCATTGAGACCAAGGGGTGTTATAATTGGTTGGTGGAAACTGCTATGGAGCCTTTATATATCCCTCGACACAATTTTGTAACCTGACTCGAATCCTTCAAAGATAGACAGATAAGAAGAGGGAGAACTACTGGCCCAATTTGTGTTTATGCAAGCATACCAATGAAAGTAGAGATCATTTGTTCTTTAAATGTCAATATGCCAAGTCGGTATTTGGGACCAACTGGGATGAGCAAAGAAAAATTTGCAGAAAAACATTTTTTTCTCCATGCTGTTAAGAATTTCACGGTTTTCCCTACCTCTATTTTACATGGAAAAAGAGAAATTTCAGATGGCCTGCATTACAAACCTTTTATTTTCATAGTATTGTGAATACCACACTTCTGATAGTAAAGATGGGTTAATGACACGTTTTATTCTAGATAAAAATGCAACGTGACCTAGACGCTGTAAGTTTGACTAAAAGTGACGAAAACAACAAAATTTTGCTCCTTAGTAAGCATTGCCCGCTGCGAAGCATGGGTCTAAAAACTAACAGCACCGAGGAACACAGATGATACTATATAATCCATAGTTACCTTAAAAATAAGTACGTCCCTGGCATTTCTGAAAAGATTATTACAGCTTGGCGCCACCAAATGCAATAAAGTCCCACCAGCTGGAGACAAAGTCCTGTGCTGCAATGCATACATTCAACTAAATTATAGTCCTAAACTAGTTGCTCGTTGAATTCAATCAGGTAATAAGATGTTAGCATATCATAAAAACAAAAGAAGTGTCACATATAATGTTTGCAAAGGCAACAAGCATATACATATACTCAATAGAAGATTATTACTGCTAGATCTAAGGATTGTTACATAAAACCATGATCATCATTCAACTTGAAACACGTGGATGAAAAACCTCGCTAGTGACATTCATGACTCATTAAGGCAGTTTTACATCTGACACTATACATTCTTAGTAGAAACTGTTATTCATGTCTACAATCCAACTCTATTTGAACTGAAGTCCTGAATCCATTGTTTTGGCAATGAAGATCCAAATATTCGAAGAAGCAAAGCTCTCTGTTTCCTGCCTAACTTGTTTACACCATAAGCGCGGTAGACACCAAGTTTAAGTGCTTCTCGCCCTTCTTCAACAGCTCTTTTCCTAACAGACGTTAATAAACCAGTCCCTTGTGGATCAATTTCATTACTCTCCATCTTTCCATTCTCACCTTTCTCTTCGTCTACAATCACCACACTGGTACCAGCATCCGCCTTTTCTTCAGATTGATGGCCGTCATCTTCATCAGTCTCAGTTCCAGCTCTATCAGTGGCCCTTTGAGTATCAGACAGGCTGCTACCCCACCATTTATTCGTAGCTGTTGATAAACCATCTGATGGAAATCCATATTTAAACTCATCCAAACCCATCAATCCTTTTGCCAACCCTGAAGTGAGCGTGATATGTTGCCGCCCAACTAGAACATCCTTAGTTCCTTGTTGCTGCAATTTGTGAGGTTTAGAATTTTCATTGTTTTGCTGCTGGATACCACTGATCAGATCATGAAAATAGGCCAGAGAAAGAAACTGAATCAAATTGAGTATACATAAATACAAGAGCATATAATTCAAATGGATTTAGATAGAATTGTTTTCATCATGTCAAGCATTCCCTCAACAGAAATTTACTAGGTGATATCTGAGTTCCCTCGTGACCTGTTGTTCACTTATTAGATCATAGACAAAATGACTAGATAAAGACAACTGCAACTAACACACCATCTGCTAGCCACTCTTATCCATAAAAAGAAAAAACTCACCTCCACATTGTCCTAATCAATGCAAGAAGCAAGGATAATGAATAAGCATGCACACCAGAAACCAATTCTGAATGCAGACACATAAAGAAAACCTATCAAATATTGCAAAAGGCAAATCCAACCATCGCTACCAACGTCAAACCTCACAAAATCTATTCTTTCAATTTTTACCCATTAAAAAGTCTCTATCTTGGTCGAAATCTTTAGTAAGAACAACAAAAACAAACCCAGGTAATTTTTCCTTCAGAGAAACTTATATTACCACAATCCTATTTCTTAAATCTTGTTAGTAAAACAAGCATAATGACAAATTCTCGAAAGCAGAATTTATGACAAATCAATCTAAAACTCTGTAATTTGCTTGCATTGATTAGTAACAGAAAGAAAAAAGAAAAAGAAAAAGAAAAAACACACCTTTTGTTAGCAGCCTTGGCGAGGTCGGCAATGGCTTTGATTTTTTCTCTAGCAGCGTACCTTCTAATGTCCTCTATACTCTTTCCAGCCAAGTACTGAAATAGCCGGGGGGGGGGGGGGGC